TTGTTTTTAATAGTTACTTAAGTTTAAATATTTAATATCATTTTATTATTTTGATAGATGTGTTCCATTGGAAGAACAAATCGGTATGTCTGTTCTCTTACTATGGAAAATAGTTCTAATAATTTTTTCTGATTGAAAAACTTTCTATTGAAGCATTTTTGAAATGATAAAAGAAGGAACCTCTGAAAATCTGATTGTTTATAAAAACAATGGGAACAAAAACCAAATTGTCAAAAATCAACCTTTTCAAAACTCAGGATGTTAAGCTATAAGGAATAACATGAGGTATGTTTACTCAAGAAAAATGACTGAATCTCAGTAAAAATATTGGGTTTACAGTGTCTCAGTTGACCCCATTCCCATCCTCTTCTCTTACTCCACCGTAGACTTACCAACCTCACAACCATACAGCTATGAAAACCAGCAGCCTCACCACCTCCACAGAGGGTGGGAAAGGCGTGGCCTCCCCCACAATCAGGAAGCTATCACAGTCGCACCTGCCTGGCATCTCCCCAGGAAAAGGTCAGTCACAGAATCCGTCTATACCTGATCTGACTGAGCTCATTCAGTACCACAGCTCTGCTCCCAGAGCACTTGTTAAAAACAGTCAGTGGCAACTGTTTAGCTGTGCTGTTGTCTTCCATGACAATTCCAATGGTGGCAAACAGGCATCTGAACAAAAAGGTTAAAAGGAGATTTTGAGGAATAAAATGTCCACAGGGGCTTTGAGACCTCTGACCTACGCCTGGGAATCTGGAAGTGGGAAGGAAGCGCCCGAGGAAGACCAGAGGAGCTCTGCTCACTCACAGCCGCCCTGGGGCTCTTTGCATTCAGTAAGGAAGCGTCAAGGCAGACCTGTGAGCTCCTGGAAGTCTGAAGGTGAAGCCAGGATTAGTCAGGCCGGCAGTGCAGAGGTACATGGAGCCAGGTCAGATCAAGGAGGCCAATTGGACTGCTCCTGAGGGACTGAATGTGAATTCCTTCAGAGCCCTTCCTCCCCCCTTACCACTCCAGAACCACCCCCTGCTCCAACCTGCTGCTGAGGTAACCTGTCCAGGAATGGCCCTCCCTACAGGGAGTTTGAGATTGTTCATGTGTCCCAGGCTGCTCCATCCTGCCCTTCCCCCTCAGCCCACCTGGTTCCCACCTCTGGCCATCCCACCAGCATCCCTGGGCCTAGTCACGGACACCTGAAGGAGAGAGACAAGGGGAGAGGACAGGAGGACAAAGGCAGCCTAGGAGATATAAAGGGGCAGAACACCTCACTTCTGGGGACACCAAGATGGTAGATATGGCCCCCTTCTCCCTCCTGGGAGAAGTCTATGTTGCCCCTTTTTGAATGAACCCTTACCTTATATTGAAAGGTTAATAAAATAGATACTTGTCACTCCATTTTTCTATATGCTTAACAAAACACTGTTGAAATCTTAATAACTGTTTGCTAATCTTGTTCCCAGAATGTGCTGTCCCCAACTGTGAACTGTTTGCTAATCTTGTTCCCAGAATGAGCTGTCCCCAACTTCCAAACTACAAAATGTAACTTCTCTCCCTGCCCTCTCCAGGGAAAGTATATAAGCTCTGCTTAAGCTGTTCTCAGGGCTCTATCTCTCTTTGCTATAGAGAGCTCTGGGCCCCAGCATGCTGGTCTCCAAATAAACCCTTCTGCTGTTGCATAAGACAGTCTCTTGTGGTCTCTTCCTCCGACGTTTCGCCGGACCCTAACATTTGGTGCATTGGCCGGGAACTGCACATCGCCGGACAGGGAGACCTCAACAAGACTCCTTTAGGGGGGTAAGTAAGGTGCCTTTTCTTCTTCTTCTTCTCTTCCTCCTTCGTCTCCTTCTTGTTTTTCCTTTGTGATCGCTCAGAGTCTTGTTTTTGGCTCAGCGAAGAGTGTGAGCTCTCAGAGCCTTCTGGTTTTTCAGTTTGGGTTGGCAGAGTGTGGTGGCTAGCGGAGAGCGTGAGCTCCCCCTGGCGGTGGTGGACAGATGTGTCCAGAAGCCACAGGCCACGTCTTTCAAGGGACGCTTTGAAAGACTCTGGGGGGG